CAAGCTATTGTGACACCAGATGTAATTGGTGGCACTGACTGGGGAAATGGGCACAGTATGCACTGTGAGCCTGACACAGAAGCTAGCAGCAGTGGCAGACAACTGACTGCTATTCAATCTATAACAGTGAAAAAAGTTTTTTGTTTTTAAATCCAAGCTATTGTGACACCAGATCTAATTGGTGGCACTGACTGGGGAAATAGGCACTGTGAGCCTGACACAGAAGCTGGCAGCAGTGGCAGACAACTAAGTGCATTTACATTAGATAGAAAAAAAAAATCCAAAAAAAGCATACCCTTATCCCTAACCTAGCTATGCTTTTCCTATCTTATGAACAGCAGCTACACTTTCCCTCCTCTTACTAAGCATGCAGCTTGAGAATGAATCTAAAATGGATGCTGTCCAGTAGGTGGGAGGGTCTGCTAGGGAGGCTGTGCTGCTAATTGGCTGGAATGTGTCTGCTGACTGTGAGGTACAGGGTCAAAGTTTACTCAATGATGACGAATAGGGGGCGGGTCGAACCGCGCATATGTTCGCCCGCCGTGGCGAACGCGAACATGCTATGTTCGCCAGGAACCGTTCGCCGGCGAACCGTTCGGTACATCACTAATGGAGATGGTGCTGGAGGGAAACTCATAGAATGCAGCTATAAGAAAACACATACTCTATGCTAATTTCTCTCTAATTTATGCTTTCATCTTTCAAGTAAATCCAAAACCCCCTAACAGCAGTGTCCAGTGAAGCAGGAAGTCAATGGGCAGGGTAAAAGGGTGTGCCACTGGCGCGAATCACGTGACAAGACCTGCCAAAAGGGGGCATGTTTGTCCAAACAATTGGAAGGTCAGCCTGGCATGAATGCATGTCAGGCTGCCTGCCGATCCTGCAGGCTGTCCAACTAAGGGCATACTATGCAGGCAGCACCTTGAGCTTGACATAAATGCATCTAATGATGCACTCGCTCCATGCTTTCTAAGGACGGTCCCCTAGCACTCGCTGGTCCACTTGTCTCCTTACCTTCTTACTAGCAGGCAGAAGTTCTTGATATATAGTCTGAGACAGAGAAAAGGTGTATGTAGTGAGTGTAGTGTATGTAGTGAGTGTAGAAGTAAGGGGACATGCCACAGAGACCAACGTCTGCATTACCTAAACTAACTTTAATGTCAGCCAGTGCACACAAGTTTTGTTCCCATACATCCCTCTTAAGCTTCCAAACTTAAAGGGACACTATAGTCACCAGAACAACTACAGCTTATTGTATTTGTTCTGGTAAGTAGAAGTAGCATTCCATTTAGGCCTTTTGCAGTAAACACTGTCTTTTAAGAGAAAATAACTCCACTGGCCGCTCCTTAGATGGCTGCTAGAGGTGCTTCCTGGGGCAGTACTGCCTAGTCTGCAACACTGCCATTCAGTGTCTCCACCCTCTGCATGCAGACACTGAACTTTCCTCATGATTGATTCAATGTATCTTTATGAGGAGATGCTGATTGGCCAGGGCTATGTTAGACTTATGCTGGCTCTGCCCCTGATCTGCCTAGTTGACAGTCTCAGCCAATCCTATGGGGAAGTATTGTAATTTGCTCAGATCACCACTTCTAAGCCAGCAGCTGCAGACTTGAATACAAGTAATATTCTACTATATTTAGGGAGGCAAGAAGGGGCCAGGGTGGTGGTTTTAACATAATAGGGTCAGAAATACATGATTGTGTTACTGACCCTATAGTGCTCCTTTAAGCAAGAATATGTGAAGCGTAGTTAAGGTTGCCACCTTTCTTGGAAAAAAATACCAGCCTTAATCATTTGTATAATTAATTAGTTATGCGTGACATCACATGATGTAAATCACAAGGAGTGACAGCAGAAAAAATTCTGTAAAATCACCAACAAACTACTCACAGTTTGATTCTGCTGTATAGATGGATTGTTCCCAGTGTCTCAGTCTCGCAAGTCACCCAGTGTCTCAGTGTCCCTATGTATCACAGTGTCAGTGTCCCCATGTCGCCCAGTCCCCTAGTCTCCCAGTGTCTGTGTACCCATTTCTCCCAGTGTCCCAATGTCTCAGTGTGTCCCCATGTCACTAGGATACTGGGGACACTGAGAGACATGGGGACACAGACATTTAGGGAAACTGGGAGAAATGGGGACACTGAGACACTAGGGACACAGACACTGGGAGACATGGGGACACTGAAACATTTGTAGACACTAAGACACTAGGGACACAGAGACATGGGAACACAGACACTGGGAGACTAGGGGACACTGTGAGACTAGGGGACACTGGGAGACATGGGGACAGTTGTGGACATAGACATGGGGACACTGGGACATATAGGACATTTGAAACATTTGGGGACACTAAGACACTAGGGACACAGAGACATGGGAACACAGACACTGGGAGACTAGGGGACACTGGGAGACAGACACTTGGGGACACTGGGAGACATGGGTACAGTTGTGGACATAGACATGGGGAAACTGAGACACTAGGAACACAGACACTGGGAGACATGGGGACACTGAAACATTTGGGGACCCTAAGACACTAGGGACACAGACACAGAGACTAGGGGATACTGGGAGACTAGGGAACACTGGCTGGGAGACAGACATTTGGGGATACATGGGGACAGTTGTGGACATAGACATGGGGACACTGGGACATATAGGGACACTGGGACACATGGGGACACTAGGCACACTGAGAGACATGGGACACAGACACTGGGAGACTTGGGGACACTGAGACACTAGGGACACTGGCTGGGGGACATGGGAACATCGTGTCTCCGTGTCCCAATGTCTCCCAATGTCCCTATGTCTTACAGCATCCCATGTGTCCCAGTGTCCCCTAGTGTCTCAGTGTCCCCATGTTTTCCAGTGTCCCCAAGTGTCTCAGTGTCCCCATGTGTCTGTGTCCCCAGGTCTCCCAGTGTCTGTGTCCCCAGGTGTCCTAGTGTCTCAGTGTCCCCTAGTGTCTGTGTCCCCATGTGTCCCCTAGTGTCTCAGTGTCCCCATATGTCCCCTAGTGTCTCAGTGTCCTCTAGTGTCCCGGTGTCCCCATGTTTTCCAGTGTCCCCAAGTGTCTCAGTGTTCCAAGGTCTCCCAGTGTCTGTGTCCCCAGGTGTCCTAGTGTCTCAGTGTCCCCTAGTGTCTGTGTCCCCATGTGTCCCCCAGTGTCTGTGTCCCCTAGTGTCTCAGTGTCCCCATGTGTCCCCTAGTGTCTCAGTGTCCCCATATGTCCCCTAGTGTCTCAGTATCCTCTAGTGTCCCGGTGTCCCCATGTTTTCCAGTGTCCCCAAGTGTCTCAGTGTTCCAAGGTCTCCCAGTGTCTGTGTCCCCAGGTGTCCTAGTGTCCCCATGTGTCCCCTAGTGTCTGTGTCTCCATATGTCCCCTAGTGTCTCAGTGTCCTCTAGTGTCCCGGTGTCCCCATGTTTTCCAGTGTCCCCATGTGTCTGTGTCCCCAGGTCTCCCAGTGTCTGTGTCCCCAGGTGTCCTAGTGTCTCAGTGTCCCCTAGTGTCTGTGTCCCCATGTGTCCCCTAGTGTCTCAGTGTCCCCATATGTCCCCTAGTGTCTCAGTGTCCTCTAGTGTCCCGGTGTCCCCATGTTTTCCAGTGTCCCCAAGTGTCTCAGTGTTCCAAGGTCTCCCAGTGTCTGTGTCCCCAGGTGTCCTAGTGTCCCCATGTGTCCCCTAGTGTCTGTGTCTCCATATGTCCCCTAGTGTCTCAGTGTCCTCTAGTGTCCCGGTGTCCCCATGTTTTCCAGTGTCCCCAAGTGTCTCAGTGTTCCAAGGTCTCCCAGTGTCTGTGTCTTAGTGTCTCAGTGTCCCCTAGTGTCTGTGTCCCCATGTGTCCCCCAGTGTCTGTGTCCCCTAGTGTCTCAGTGTCCCCATATGTCCCCTAGTGTCTCAGTGTCCCCATGTGTCCCTGCTACCTTTCCCCCCATCCCTCACCTGAGCTGTAGAGCTGCTGTCTGGACTCTATGCTGTGTAGCTGCTCCCCCACAGATCAGTGAGTAGTAGAGAGAGGCAGGGATATTCTGTAACTTCCTATACCTGCCTCTCTCCACACACAGTGACCCCTACTGACCGGTGCTGGTATTGCAGAGTAATTTCCATTTATTCTGAGAAAATTACCTGCATTTGTATTGCCGGTATTACTGCAATACTTGCACGGCAGCCTCAAATACCAGCTGTGCTAGTAAAATACCAGTCAGGTGGCAAACCTAAGAGTAGTGTGTAAAAAAAAAAAAAAAAAAAAAATTATTATTTTTTTTTTTTAAATGGGCCTATTCCATGGGCCTGGGACTGGAGCTGCAGCTCCATCAGCCCCTATGTTAATCCGGCCCTGGCTGCTACACTTTTATTATCTTTATATTTTATATTAGCACTTTCAGCGCCTTTTATTGCTTGCCTGTTTTTTAGTTTTCTTATGCTGACACTCGCTGACTGGACTACAATTTTCACACAAACAGACACCACCTCTATTAGCTGTCTCACAATGGTATTATTCGCCAGAAAATTACATAAACTCTATCTAACTGCTTTAAACAAATTTTGGAGATGTTCTCGAGAAATAGGTACACCAGCACACAAATGATGGTTAAGCCCCATTGTACAAGAGTATTGGAAGCAAATTTCATTATTAATCCACAGTATAACAAATATACATGTCCCCTGCACCTCTGAGATGATGTTGTTTCTCATTTACTCATCTCCAATTCCCACCTAATTATTATTAATCCCCTAATCACCGCAATAAATTTACTTATTCTTACAAAATGGATACAAGACATAGCCCCAACGATTAGGGAATGGTTTAAAAAAAAATTAAATTATGAGAGTGATAGAAGAACTCAACTACTCATTTACTGACAAATACATACTTTATGCCAAAATTTGGGAACTCTGGGTGAAGCTCATCCAGAACAACCCAAGAGGTTAGAGGACCCCAATTGAGGTCTGTGGTTACACACCACAATTCCAAAACCTATTAACACTTTTTTGCCAACTACTGCGAGTCCACAGCCCAGGACAATGGAGAAGAGACCCAAAGGATATATTTATATAGATTTAATGGCTGTGCACAACACATGACTGTGCACAATGATAAAGGTATCAAGGTATCCTAATAGATCCATATACCGTACGTCTTCAAGTCATACTTCCCTCATTCTGACCATTTCCCCCGAGCAGCAAATGGCCATTTATAGGCCGGTTACACACGTCTAAAAAGAATCACACGAGATAACCTACGGATCTATTGATTTAAATATCTCAATTCTGCTACACATCGAATATGCTCATTGATATATTACAAAGTAAGAATTAACATGATCAAAGCTCTGGACACCAATTGCTTGCGGATTGCATTTATCTATTACCTACCTATGTTAAAAGTTATCTACCATACCATCTCGTAATAATCCAGGTGGGAAAGATGACCACGCCATGTCTCTTGTATATCATTATTAACTTTTGATATATTCTGTGAGACAATGTCTTCCCTGTATTGTTCATGAAGCCTCATCAAGTGATCATATATATGCACTCCAAATGTAAGCAATCTCAACAACGGTTTAATTTTGTAACCTAACGATGCACATACAATATCTTGTAACGTCTTAGATGAAAAATAAAATAAAAAAATGTAAAATAAATAAAAATTCCTATTGCAATGACCAAAAAAGATAACAAAGAAAAGAGAACAAAGAAAAAAGTTTAATGCATGTGCATTTCTCACATTCAAACATAAGTGTAACAATAAATTAGAGAAAGGGTTTAAACTAAGGGTGTATAAAGAGCACATTTAAATATATTACATGTGTAAATTTTAGAGCCTTTTGTAATTCACAAAATTTCCTTAAAGTACACATTTTAAATTTAGTGTTTAAATTTAACTTCAACATTTGCCCAATCACATAATTATCAGCAGTTGACCACATTTGTCATATCCATATAACCACTACTTTGCAGTGTATCACTGAACAAGCCTACTATAATAGTGTCTTTAATGGAATTTTTCAATGGACATCTGACATTAGAATAATATGGAAACTTCTACTATACATATGGGAAAGTGGTCAAATTGTTCTTTATATATTTTATAAGAACTCAAGTTCTCAATATAAAAATAAAAATAAATTCAGACACAGGAAACTATAAAGAAGCATATTAGATAAAGTGTATTTTTGGTGTCAGAGATGCGTTAAACTCAACATATGCATATTTTACTATTACTATTTATTTCCTTAGTTGAAGTGATTGAAAATAATATAGAAGTAGATGCAGCATGTGCAAATGATTGGGCTCCCTTGAAATCCGTACTTAGTAGATTTGGATTTCTTCCAATATGGCGGACACCGCATGCCCTTGGATAGTGGGAAACTACAGTCTCCAAACCTGACTGCACTTTATGGACTAGGTTTAGGTTTTGGCAACTTGCACACACACTCGCTCTCATGCAGCACAAGCCTACCCCAGAGGTGATGCCAGAACAGGTGGATCTTTTGGAGCAGTGTCTGAGGGCAGTTCCTAAGAGACTGCGAAAACTTGTTACTAGGAGAGCCCAAAGGCCACAGTAGTCCCTTTGGAGAAAGCTGGGAGTTGTGCCTCATCACCATACCTTCTTCGACTCATCTTGGGTAACTGGCATGCCCTGGTTCCAGAAGCTGATTTAGTGGCAGGTGCACTTCTGTCTATACCTGGGGGGAAGGATCAGTGATCCCGGAGACTGTGCCTTGGTACAAACAACACCCTGAATGCAACTTACAACATCCACAAAAACATTTTGTAATCAAACTGGCAAGATGGGCAAAGTATTTTCTTAGTGAAGGGTTGCACTCGGATATATTTGTCTACAGAAGAGAAGTAAAATCAGTAAAATCTGCTGTTTGTAATTTTTTTTTCATGCTAAAGTATTTCAAAACTGACTGTCAAATTACTTTCTCTGTTTTCTAAATTAGAAACATGAGATTGCATGAGCAGATTGATTAACTAATTAATCATTACAATATAGCTCATTCATTTGTCAAGTCACCGAGACATGGAAATCCATGTGCAATATGTCGAGTAGGAAATGTCTCTGAATATAACCTGATTGTTATTCTAAAAAAGACAGTACTTTAAAGAAAAGGTTGATTCAGACAGATTATAATGATTTAGGTAACTGAGGACAAAAGTGCCTTTTAGAATGTATAAGTGTATGCATGCACACATAAGAGGAAAAACTTTAATGGCTCGGAATTCAAATGTAATATTAAATAATATAAAAAATGCAAGATAAAAAAAAAGAAAATGAAAAATATCATCAATTTACATGGCTTAATCAATCAATGCCCTTGGCTGTCATGAAAAAATAGGAAGCTTTTGCATATTCTGTGGTTTATTAGCATGCAAAATATCGTGTGATGATCAGCTGCAGATACATTATACAAACTTGGCAAAGATCATGTATATGGATGGAAAATTCAATTTTGTCTTTACTGTGATTAAGATTTGTATTATCTTTATTTAAAATACACTTTGAAATTCTGAAACTGTGATTGAAATATTTTCAGGTTCTATCTAACTATCTATCCATCTATCCATTTATCCACCTATCCACCTATCCATCTATCCATCTATCCACCTATCCACCTATCCACCTATCCACCTATCCACCTAGCCACCTAGCCACCTAGCCACCTATCCCTCTGTCTGTCTGTCATCTATCCATCTATCCATCTATCTATCTTTTCACATTCTTAACCAGGAAGAATAAGCATATTTATCACTTAAAGGGGCACTCATAGACTCCATAGTGCCAGAAGTCCACTAGTGCAATCCTATCATAATATATGCCAATATTCATTTATCTATGACAGAAGGGGACTTTTGCTTTAAATACATAGACTACTTACTGTGCCGCAGGATCTCCTCGCACCATGACCACTGCAGTATACTTTAGTGTATATGGTGCCTATACTTTTCCTTTAAAACATGTCCAGAAAGGGAACATTAAAGGACCACTATAGTGCCAGGAAAACATACTTGTTTTCCTGGCACTATAGTGCCCTGAGGGAGCCCCCACCCTCAGGGTCTCCCTCCCGCTAGGCTCTAGGGGGAGGAAGGGGTTAAACTTACCTCTTTCTCCAGCTCTGGGTGGGAGACTCTCCTTCTCCTCTCCTCCACCTCTCCTCTTCTTCTCCTCCTCCTCGGCTGAATGTGCATGAGCGGCAGGAGCCGCGCGCGCATTCAGCCAGTCCATAGGAAAGCATTCACAATGCTTTCCTATGGACGCTGGCGTCTTCTCACTGTGATTTTCACAGTGAGAAGAGCGGAAGCGCCTCTAGCAGCTGTCTCTGAAACTGCTATTTTTAGAGAAAAAAAGGTTAAACCTAGCTGGACCTGGCACACAGACCACTTCATTAAGCTGAAGTGTTCTGGGTGCCTATAGTGGTCCTTTAATTTATATTATTCTTTTTTTTTAATTCTTTATTTTTTGAGTTCAGGAATGGAGCTTTACAATTCTTGCGTGTACAATTTTATAGTACAGTACATTGTCAGAAGGTAGTTATTGAATTTATATTATACTTACAATGTATAAACTAAGTATAAAAATATTCAACTTTTAAAGACAACAAAATAGTAGGGTAATATGGCGTATTTGTGACACTATAAACCTCTACTGTTCATTTGTTAAATGAGCACCCTAATCATGGTGCTATGATTCTTTGAATGTCATCCCTTTAATTTTCTCTCAAACCTGATATGAGCAATCAAATTAAAAATGCAGCCTCCCATAATGCCTTGTGTGCTATAATAGTACAAATTGTCAATGCCATAGTAATAGTTACTTCTCTATACCAAATGCAGTGAGATATACAGTATCTTTGTCTATTCATAAAATAAAATATTCTATATATATGCAAACAATTTGATTATCACGATGCTGGCATACAACCGTATAACTTACAAAGGGCCACTATGACATTTCTTTATGACAGGCATACGTTTCATTGTACAAGGCACATTCAATTGCTATTGTAGCAGATGGAACAGGTCCTTTGCCTCTTGTGTGACTCAAAGGATGTAAAAAATGAAAAACCGTGGTAATTAAGATTTGTGATACAATTGAAAAATGCACTTGAAAATAATTGCAAGAAATAACTACGTAAAAGACACAAATGAGAAAGCTGAAGTTTTAATTTCATATCACCAGTGAATTGACATAGGTTTTGTATGTGCATCATGATCAGT